GGTGACCCAGGGGGTGGCCCCACTCTCTGCCAGTGGGCCAGTGCCAGTAGCTGGCAAGGGCTGGGGAGGGGGGCGGGGGGCACAGTCAGACGTCGTCCCGTCTGTCCCCAGCACCCTCCCCATCCCTACCACACCTCACAGTGCTTTCCGGGGTTCATGGGGGAGCCCAGGGGGCAGCCGAAATGTTCGACAAAGTCCCGGGAGTTGCTGAGGGTGCCGATGACACGGAACTTGTCAGGGCTGTGGGGGTCAGTCACCAGCCCTTCGTGGGAGCTCTCGGGGGTCCGGACGGAGCACCAGACCTGCCGGAGCAGGAGCAGCCTCAGGGACACCCCCCCAAGGAGGGATGGGGGGCTGTGGGGTGGCTCTGGGTGGGGTGAGGAGGGGTGGGAAACCCCGGCTCCACCTTACCTGTGCGAAACCCACGAAGAAGAGCTGGTGGTTGGTGAGCCCCAGAGCTGGCAGGCGCTTCTCCTCCCCGTTCTTCTGCAGCCAGGACTTGTACGCCTGCGGGAGAGCCACCCTGAAGCCCTGGGGAGGGTCGCACAGGCACGGGGAGGGGGGGATCCCGTGGCACTCACGTTGTAGGCTGCCTTGAGGCCGCCGTTGTCGGCGATGTTCTCGCCCAGCGTCTGCCGGCCGTTGACCTTCTCGTGGTGGACGGTGTAGCGGCCGTACTGCTCGGTCATGCAGGCCGTCCGGTTCTTGAAGGCCTCCAGCGAGGAGTTCTGCCACCATGGCCGCAGGTTGCCCTCCTTGTCGTACTCCCGCCCTGTGGGACCCAGCCATGGGGTGGGACCGGGGGATGCTGGACACCCTTCCCCCTGCAGAGCCCCCCCAAAGCAAGGTGGGGGTGCAGTGGGGACAGCCCCAGGGGTGTCTGGCACCTCAGGTCTGTACCCAGGAGAGATGGTGTCCCCCCAGCCCCTGCTCTGGGTGGGCTCCCTCTGGGGCTCAGCCATCCTCTGGTGCATCCCCACTGTCCCAAGCCCCGTTTGTCACCCCGAATTCCCCCCCACCCCTCCGTCTCGGCTCTGGGGCCGGGGTGAAGGCACAAAGCAGAGCGGATGCGAGAGGGACCCGTCCCACGCCCCGCAGGGGGGAGGATGAGGAGGGGGCTGCAGACACCGTGTCCTCACCAAGCAGATGGAGCGAAAGCTGCACAGAGAAGCCAGGGGGAGGAATCGGCGGGTGCCACCTGGGGAGACAGGACGATAGAAGGGGGGGTGGCCGGGGTGGGGGGGCATGAGCACGCATGATGCAATGTGATGATGGCAAAGCGGGGACCCCCCGCGGCACCCCCTCCCCACGCCGAGGGCAGGGGATGGGCCGGAGGGGGAGGGGGCAGGGCGGTGATGGGGGGTCAGGGCTGGTGCTGCCGGGGCGGCTCTCACCTTGGTCATCGAAGGCGTGGGTCAGCTCGTGCCCCATCACCACGCCGATGCCGCCGAAATTGAGGGCTCTGCGAGGCCAGGGTGAGAGAGACAGGTAAGTGGGGACGGGGGTGATGCCATCACAGCCAGCCCCCCCTTCTGCAGCCCGGCCACCCTGTGTCTGGGGCAGGGAATGGGTCCTGCTGGGGACACCGGTGGCCCCACGGGGACTTTGCAGGATGTCCTGGCTGGAGGATGTACGGCCTTGGTGGACCCTCACCTCCCCCCAGGGCTTCACTTTGTGGTTGTGGGGCACCCGTGCCCCCCACCCCCAGGAGGTGCCCCCCGCCCCCTGCCAGGCTCACTTGGGGTGGCTGCGGGCGTAGAAGGGAGCCTGCAGGATGCCAGCGGGGAAGACGATGCCGTTCTTGGTGGGCAGGTAGTAGGCGTTGACGGTCTGCGGGGTCATGCTCCACCTGGGGCAGGGAGGGGGGGACAGGGGGACAGGCAGGAAGGGGTCCCCTCCTCCCCCAGCCCTCCTGACCCATCTCCCACCACCAGTCCCCGGGGCTGGCTCTGCTGCCCCCCGCCCCAGGACCAAGGGAGAAGCCCCCCGGTGCTGTCTCGCCCCAGGGGTGACCTGCAGCGCTGACACCCTGAGGAGGACCCTTCCCCTCCAGGGACCCAGTGCCACCCAGACCCTGCTGTGACACTGTGCCAGCGTCACCTCCTCTGCCCTGCCTGTGCCCCCCCCTTACTGGTCGCGGTTGGGGGGTTTCCGGAGCTGGTCAGCCATCACTTTGGCGGAGAAGTTGTAGAAGTTGAGCATGTTCTGGAAGAAGGAGTCCTCTGAGACCTCGTACTGGGGAGGAAGAGGTGGGATGAGGAGGGGTCCACCCTGGCCACTCAGTACTTGGGGGGGGCCCATGTTAACGCCCCGTCCCACCATGGGGGGACCCAGAGTTGGGTGTGAGCAGGGGCCAGACCCCTCCCCACCAGCTGGGTGACCCCTACCCCATCGTAGACATCGTCCAGCTCCTTGTTGTCCAGGATGAAGTCGGGGAAGCCGATCATGTCGTAGATGGCGTCCGCCTGCGAGGGGCGAGTTCCCAGCGGTGAGATGGGGCTGGGGGGGCACTTCCCAGGATGGGGGTCTCCCATCCACCGCCCTCCCCAGGGTCACCTTCTCCTTTGCAGCCTGCCGGGTCTTCTCGTCCATCCAGTCCAGCTGGTCCAGGGACACCTCGAAGGCCGCCCGGATCTCACCGATCATCTCCTCGGCCTGGGGAGGGGAGGGAATGAAGCCCCCACAGCCCCTTGGGCAGGGACAGGGTTGGCAGGACACGACCTCCCCGGGGCCGGGGATCCCGTTTCCCTGCTCCCTGCCTTCCAGCCCTGGGGTTTGGGGGGGGAGAAAGTGGGGACAGAAGTGTCCTCACGATGGCCTTGCTGTCCCGGTCGAAGGTGGCTTTGACAAAGAGGGAGCCCAGGGCAAAGCCCAGTGTGTCGTCCGTGTTGGAGATGCAGGTTTGCCAGCGGGGCGTGCAGGACTGCGGGGGTGAGACAGGGGTCCGTGAGACCCCCAGCCCCCTCCCCACCTCTGCCTCTTGGCCGGGGGGTGAGATGCTCCACAGCTCAACCCCCATCCCAAGAGATGATCCCTGGGTTCCCTCTGCAGCATCCAAGGCTCGGCATTCCAAGGGCATCCCAAGGGCAGAGGTGGTCCTGGGGGGCTGGGGGTGGAGGAGGCTGGTCTCAGGGCCCCCCGTTACCTTCCTGGTGCCATAGAGGGTCTCCAGCAGCCTCTCCTGGGCCGTCTCGAAGCGCTGGTCCAGGCTGGAGGCCGTCTTCTGCACCAGGTTCCAGATCAGGTAGTTGTTCAGGATGCTGCAGGGGGGGACAGAGAGGTGCCATGGGCATGGGGAGATGCCCCAGCCCCCCCGGTGATCCCAAAACATGCCCCCCACCACGGGATCAGCCCTCAGTGGGGCATGGCGGGGGTCTCACAGGCCCCTCACCTCCTGTCGGTGCCGTTGATGAGGTCGGAGACCTGCTGGAGGTAGGTGTCCCCGTACACCACCACGGGCTCGCTGTCAGCCAGCTCCAGCGGGGCCAGGGCGTAGGACAGATAATCCAGCCAGTCCACGGCGGGGGCCAGTGCCTGGGGGGGGACACAGGGACGCAGCCCCCCAGTGCTTGGCTCAGCTCTGCCCCATCCTGCCCAGTACCGGAGGCATCCCCCAGGACAGGGACCATGCTCCCCGGGAAGGTCCCGAGGCCCTTGGCCACCCCAGACCCCTTCTCTGCCCCACACCCTGTGGGTCCCCACTGCTCTCAGTGCTGTGGGACAAGGAGGGGACCCCGGGACCCCCCAAGGGGAGTGGCAGCTCCCCCCCAAACCTAACAACTCGGGGGGCGAGCACCTCATTCCAGCACCCAGCATGTGTCCCAGAATGGATGGGGCTGCCCGGGACATCTGGGGGGGAGCAGCAGCGGGCACAGCCCCCTTGGTGCCCCACTGGAAGACCCCCCCTCGTGTCCCAGAGGGTTTCCCCGGGCTGGGCCGTGCTGTGCCCACCTGCAGCTCAGCGATGCTCATCTTGTGGTAGATCTTCTCGTCGTCCCGCCGCTCGGCCTGGGGCACGGTGATGTTGGCCAATTGGGTTTCAAAGTCCAGCACTTGCTGCATCTGGAGGCGGGTGGGCTCCGGGGCCCCCCCCAGCAGTGTCCCCAGCTCCACCATGTAGTCCAGGTACGCTGCCAGCACCTGGCAGGACCCCGAGCCCCAGCTCAGCCCCAGCCACGGCTCGTCCCACCTCCCTGGGGGGCTCAGAGCCGCTGCTGACCCCAGCCTGGGCTCCGTGTCCCCTCTCACCCCCTGGCACTGCTCGCCCCCCCTGCCACAGGTACTCCCCGATCGCTGCCCGGAGCCCAGCCTCACCCTCTCGTTGGCCGTCTTGTTCAGGTAGTAGTCCCGGGACGGGAGGAAAAGCCCCGACTGGTCCACCTGGGAGGATAGGGCAGCACGGGCAGCACAGTGCCCCCGCAGCTGCCCGCCACCCCCTCGGTGCCAAGGTGCCCACCTGGATGACGTTGCTGTTGGAGCTCTTGGAATCCGCACCCACGTACACCGTGAAGAAGGGGGTCGCCCGGTACGTGCCTGACACCATCTTGAGGACCTCCATGAAGCCCGTCTGGTTCCAGGAGCCGGTGATGTTCCACCCCCCGATCTGCCGGCGGACGGACCCGGTGCCTCAGGGTGGGGGTAGTGTCTGTCCCCTCCCCGGTGACGTGAAGAGCTGAGCCCCGGCAGCTCGGCTCACGCGTGGATGGCCACCCACCTTGTCAATGAGCTCCATGAGGGGCTGGGAGCCCAGCTCCTCGATGCGCTGCTCCTTGAGGCAGGACAGGTAGTACCGCTGCGTCTTCCGCTCTGCCTCGCTGCTGGAGTTGAAGCTGGCGTTCTCTGCGGGAGGCTGCGGCTCAGCCCCGGGACTCAGCACCCCCCCGCTGGCCGTGGCCCCCCACCCCGGGTGCGTGCCCACCGAGGAGATGCTTCATGATGGCCTGGTTCTGGTCCCAGATGCTGTTGAAGGTGCTCCACTTGGAGCGCCCATTGGGCAGGGGGTTCCTCTTGATCCAGCCCCCGCAGGAGTACTGGTAGAAGTCCTGGCAGGGGTCCGTCTCCGCGTCCAGCGCCTCCAGGATCTTGCTGGCCACCCGCACGCAGGCCTCCGTCAGGCACGTGCTGTGAGAGGGGTCTGCCGGGGAAGGGTCTGTGCCGGGGGGAAACCGAGGCACGCAGCGGGGCCCGCACCCCGTGGGCTGACCCGTCCCCCCCC